CCCCAAAACCCCAAAACCCCAAAACCCCAAAACCCCAAAATATTTTATTTTATCTGAATATTTATCAATGGAAGAATATTGTCAACTTTGGAAGGACGTCAACTCTGATCAGAGTTATCTACTCAAAACTAATGCTAAACAACATGTTAGAGGGGATGGAAGAAGCAGAGCAAAATTTAGCTTGAGAGTCACAGGCTTCTCCAACTTCAAGCAAAGAATGAAGGTGAGTCAGAAGCGGAAGGAAGTTGCTCCTGATCTCCCACCTTATTTGATCACTTCTTATAATGATCAAGCGATGAGAGTCAAATCTACCGCTAGAGGGAGTTCTAGAGGTGATAGATTGCAGTTTATTTATTCAGGCAAAACCTCTGGTCTCTAAATGCAAGGGTTAGATCTTGCTCCTCTCAGAAATTTTTGAGAGGAGGTTCTAAGCAAGCCATGAGAGGAAAGAGAACAGCTATTTCAAATAGTTGTGATTTCAAAATTCATAAATCTATGATAAATCTTAAAAAGGCTTATCCAAAAGTTCAGAATAGTAAATTTATTGAGCTTTCTTCTGAGGGATTGATAAGAAGAGCCCCAACAATCAAAGAAATGCACGAAAGCTGATATCCTTCAATTCATAAATTTTCAAAAGATCATAATAAGAAAAAGATATCACAAAACAACCAGTAAGTGATTCCAAAACTCACTATGATAAATTAAAATATGTAATTATCTACCTCACAAAAATAAACTGCATTAATACACTCTACTCCCCTAAAATCCCTACTTTCCCCACAACTCTCTTACCTCTCTATCACAGTTCTATCTCCACTCACTTCAAAAACCACCTTTACACCACCGCCAACCCTGTAAGCCCCCTAATCTCACCACTCAGCCCTCCAATCCCCCTGCCCCTACCCCTTCAAACCCCCCATCCCCCACTCCTACCAACCCCAACTCCCAAAACCCTCCTGGCACACCCCACTCTTCCTCTTCAGGCACCTCTCCAAGCCAAGCCAAAGCCAGGTCCCGCACAGTTCTGAGTAACTCATTTCAGACATCTAAAGGAAGGATTTAGGCGAATTTCTTAGTATCATGAACTCCCCACTCCAATCACCTTCCTAATTCACCCCTCCATAATTTTCCTCTCAAAATATTAAGCATAATCACCAATGAACTAGTCATATCCCACAATAATACAACAATCCGCTAATAATCCTCTATAGCTGCACACAAGGCTCCTTTTAAAGCCAATAAAGACTCTCGCTCTTCCAATGTAACGCTTAGCATCCCTCAGCATTACAGTAATGCACGTACAACTTTTGTTAAGAGAAGGCATCGGAAGCCTGACTGTAACAGCCCAGGTGAACTGTATTATCAGGATTTGAAGTGGATGAAGAAGGCAAATCCGGACCCGTTCTTGGCTGAGAAGAGGAAGGAAGAGGCTTCTAAAATATTTGTGGTGAATTCTAGAAAGAGGAAAATGATTCAACAGAGTTTGATAATGGCAGACTGAGCTAAGGAGCATTTATTGCTGAAGAAAGTATATCAAAAATTAAGTTTTTAATGGTACAATTTTTACCAACAAATATTCTTAGAAATAAAATTTGACTTATAAACCCTCAATGGCTTTAAGATTCTTAATGCTTGCAAAGCGCACTTAAATTATTTCTAACTTCAGACATTAATTTTTTGAGATTCACTGGGATTCTCTGCCTAAAACTTGGCTGCTCCTTGGATTTTTATGATGGTTCTAATACAAAGATCTATGCGGCAATACTTTAAACCTTCTTTTAAGAATTTTGGTATAATTTCCAAGTATGATTTACAAAGAGCATTTAATAACGATTCTTTTTGAGATCGTCAAATTTCGTTAAACCTTCAGTATTTATCACCTATCATGAGAAATTGAGATGAGATATATTAATAAATTTAGGCTTCATTTCAACAGTAGAGTTTCTTCTAGACCTTCACTCATTGACTTCTCTTGGTAAAATTTCTCGTTACAATCTAAGTTGATCAAGAAGAATATGCTTTATAAAGATATTCAATATTTTTAAACTTGTTTGGGGTTTTGGGGTTTTGGGGTTTTGGGGTTTTGGGGTTTTGGGG